GAGCAGACACAGGGCCGGGAAAATGAAAGAGGAAACCCCGTGCCAGCTTTAATTCCTTCTGTGCCTAATGCAATTTGTTACTCATTATTAATCCAATAGAAAATATTGCTAAAACACCTGCTTTGATTTCTTCGCCTGTCGATTCCGTGATCACACACGGGCAGGGCTCCCGGGAAGGGCTCCCGCGTTCCCAGTGTGTGTGTGCCCAGCTGGGAAAGGACGTGACCAGCTTCACACACCAACCTACAGCCACGCACTGTGCACAGCCTGGCCTTTCAGATCAGCCTCTCCACCTTCCCAGCTTCAAATATCTGCCTATAAAAGCCAGCGGTGCTTTGTGTTCTGTGTAGATCTGTGCTTATGGGGTTTGTGGGTCAGCAGATCCAACACCTCCTAAAGGCACAGATACACACGCATGACACACAGAGTGCACAGGGGGAACACCCCATCATCTGTCCCACATCACTCCCACTTGATTCCTGCTTCTGGGAGCTTGAAAAGTACGGGACACAGCGGGCAGAAAGTTCCTCCCTGTTCACTGCTGCAGTCACATCAGTGCTGGTCCCAGCCTGCTTCCAGCCACCACATTAGCCATTGACTAAAAACCCCTCCGCCAAGGAAAAAGTTTTGCCACATTCCCTATCTTGTAAAGATGAAAGGAGGACGACAGGACTGTAAATTCTGCAGATTCATTAGCAGAGAGCAGGCAGAGAATGACTAGTGGAGGCTGTGGCAGTCTGAGGACAAGAGCAAGGCTGGCACCACTCGGCAAACATGACAGGCTTCATCAAGAACACATCATCATTTATCATATCCCATTCGAAACTACAATCATTTAGGTATGGGGGAAAAAAAAAAAAAAAAAAAAAAGAATTACCAACCTGTTTCGTGGACTAGAGGAGCGATCAGGTCTGAAATTTTAGACCAGTCTTGGTGGAGCAGGGCGAAGTCCTATGTCAATGGAGAATGCATGCCGGTCCTCCCGTGCCAATTCCTGCTGGGGACTGAAAGGATGGCTCAGTCCCTTGCTCTCCCAATTGAAAACTCCCTTTCCGCCAATGCTCTTCCAGGGCTGGAGCAGTGTTGAGTTGCAATCACAACTGTTGCCTCTATTGATAAGCAGCAAGCTAATCTGGAGATCAGATTCTGGCCTGGAGAGGGAGAGGAGCCTCTTTCTTCCCCAAAAGCTCACCCCCTTCAGGTGGATTGAGATGGAAATGCCAGCGAGCCGGGGCTGGGCTCGCTGCTGGGCTGCTCAGGGGAAAGAAAACCCAACCCTCAGAAGAACTGAGCCCCTTCCTCCTTTGTGTAAAAGGAGAGAAAAAAAAAGAAAAAAAAAAAGCCCATCTATATAATGTTACAGGATTAGCATTAAGCAGTGCTAGGCTCAAAGTGCTGTTCAAAGGCTCTGCCCTGAACTTTCAATGGAGCTACTTTGCCATCCAGGTCTTGCTTTACTTTCTGTAACTGCTTTTACAGGTGAAAAAGGAAAAAACTCACCCAGTCCAGTGTTCTCCCTCCAAATCTCCCAGGGAGGTTTTCCTTGCTGTTCCTGTTTCCAGCCTCTCTGGAGGGACTGGCTGCTGGTGGGGAGTTTCACTGGGGGACTGGTGTGAGTGTCATTCCTGTTTTCACTCACCCAACCTGCCATTTCCACCGGGATTTTCCCTGCCTCTGGCATCTGGGCTGAGAGATGATACACAGCTAAGTTGAAGGGTAAAAACACGGGCTGTGGGAGTAGCTGGGGTGAGCTGACCAAAGTTCCTCATCTTCTGTACCCCAGGAAAAGAATTCAACCACTTTCATTTGGTTCAGGTCCACATCAGGTGGAATAGCAGCCGAGGGGTGAAGGATGCCACCAGCAGAGCCACTTTAGAGCTGACTTTTCCAGCCTTCAAGACTCAGGTAGGACAGGCAGAGCTCCAGCCCATCGTGGGAAAACAGCCTGACCTTGGCACAACGATTTTCTCTTCTGACTTTCCGGGTGGGTGCCTTTTATTTTCCCTATTTTCCCTGATAGGAGTTGAATTATTCCTCCTGTGCTCCTTTTACACCCTCTCCTTGCCCCTTGTGAGGGCACAGGAATGCCAGCAGCCCAGCATGAACTAGAGAAGCCCAGATTTTTTTTTTTTTCCCAGGAGCCTGGGAGCTCCTAGAAGTGTGTTTAACAAGTTCACCCCCAAAGTGCTGCATCTTGCATCAGCAGTTTCCTTCAGCACATCAGGGGCACCAGGAAAAACACACCACCTCCACAGCAAATCCTGGAGTTTGCTTCCTCTTCATCCCCCAAACGTGGCCTTGCTAACAAGAATCTTTCATTTTTAAATTTATTTGTACCCTTTTCTAAACCCACAACTATTTTAGGAGGGCAGGGGGGATATCAGCACTGATATTCCAAGGGACCCATTACTTCCAGCCTGCCACTCCATGAACCCTTGGCTCTCCCCTTCCCTCCCATACATTTTAAACATTACCAGCAACAGGAAAATCAATTGACTCTTCTCCTTCTGTTTTGTAACACAGACAAAACTGGTGAAAATTGGTTTCCCTCTGCTCCTCTGTCAGTTTAATATTCTGGTCCTGTTGGTCCTGGGCAAAACCACACTGATGGAGTTTGATTAGGCTTCACTGTCTCTTTGGGGAGGACTTTTGTCTTCCAGACTATTTTCTTTTGGCAGGGGATGTTCCCACCGTGCAGTGCTGGACACACATGGGAGCTGAACGACCAAACACCTTTTTTTTTTTTTTTTAATTCTTCCAGCAGAAAACTGCCTCCCATGCCTGACATCAAGAGAAAACAAGCATCAAAAGATGAGACAAAAAGGTTCTCTGGCTGCTTCATCTCGGCAGAGCAGCCACAGGCATGCCCATTTCAAGGGACCCAGCTGGGAGAGGCGTTTGCCAGGAGTTCTGTCCCAGCTGGAGGGACATCTTTCTCCTCCTGCCTCTCCCCAGGGTTGTTTGGTGCAGGCCAGAGAATGGAAGTTGTTTTAACCCTAAGGCCAGTCCCAGTGAGGACATGGAGAAGTAAACAGTGAACTCGAACCTCGTTCCTCACCTGGAAGTGGAGATGAATCACGGCCACGGAGAAATACAGCCCAGGAGAGGACTAGATCTTCCTTCTCCTTTCAGAAAGCACCATCACAGGGAAGGTGGCTGTGCTTGAGCTCTCAGCACAAACACCAGCAGCACAAAAACACCTCGGCAGCTCTCACTGCACCAAAGGTGAGTGTTAAACACGTGGGTCAGACCGAGGGGAACGTTTTGCTTCAAGGGCAACACAAAAAGGGCAAAGCTCAGGAGACTTTTTTTTTTTTCTTTTTCTTTTTTTGTGTAAAAACTTACATAAGTTTATTGAACTGATCCAAACCAATTACCTATTTGGCCTGAATTCCACCGCTAAGTCTGCGAGCAAACCAAAGGCAAGTCGTGGGAGCGGGAAGAATATCCCCCGTGAGAGAAACCAGGATAAAAAAACGAGATGGACTTACAGTTCTTTTTCTTTGAAATTACACATGGATGCAACATTAACAGGGAGCAAGAACAGATCTTCATGTTTAAATTATATTTGAAATTTTCCAGTAAGTGCAGGAAAAGCAATCACAGAGGCAAAGGCCCGAGATGGTTGAAGCCCCTCGAACGCTGCTCTGGGGAAGGCGTCTCTCTCTCTGCTGCCTACAGAAGTGCCACATCCAAACGAGGGAGGCACAGCTGCCAGGAATACATATTTTAGCCTCTGGGCTGCTTCCAGCACCTCGTTTGCATTTTCAAATCTGCACACGAACAGAACCTGCAGAATCTCATTTACAAGCGACAACGGGCAACCGGGGAGGCAGAGCCAGCGCCAGAGATTCCAGACCCGAGGAGGCGAGGGCACACGGGGAGCCCCTCCCCAGGGGCAGCTCCTCCGAGCCACCCTGGGCCACACCCTCACCTGCCACTAGGATGTGTGCAGCTCCCCTCCCAAAAAAAAAACGGCGTTACAAATCCCAGCGGGGGAGCAGAGGGGCAGCCGGCACGCCATGAATATTCATAACATCGCCTAACCCTTGAGCGATCCGCCTGAAACATCTGGTCAAAAAACACCGATAGTCAACAGCAACGTTATCCGAAAAAAAAAACAACAAAAAACCACGAGAGCGCAGCATCCAATCTCGGCACACGGAGCCGTGTGACACTTTGGTATGTAGCTGTCACCTAATTCCCGGTGAGCCAGGGGCTTGCCCGCTGCGCAGACTGCCCGGGGCAGGCTTTAAATGCATGAACTAGCAGGAACAGCAAAACAGCTCTTGACAAAAAGTAGCCCTCAGATAGAAGGACACAAAAGCTAGGGAAGTTTGCACGTCCATTTTGCTTTCTCCAAGGAATGTGGCAGAGCCAGGGATGTTTTCACCAGGGCCACGTCAGGACCCTGTGGAATTCTCAGCATCCCAAACCTCCTCTCCCACTCGGAGCCCTCTCCTCTCTCCCCAAGACATGGCCCCTGTTAAGCACTAACTTGGCACAAGAGGAAAGGGATCTGGGGTATTTCCCCCCCATCAGTTGTGTGCCTTTTGGTCCTACTTTCCCAAGTCGATCACCTGGACACATAAACTGCCTCTGGGTTATGGATGGGACTCCTTCTCCTCGGGAAGACAACCAAGATCTTTGGTTTCCACCCCACGAGCGTCCCACAAGCTGCACACAAGGTGAATGCCTTGAGAACATCATCCAGAAAAAAAACCCTCCCCTGGAGAAGTGGCAAAGTAAGTGGTGATGTCGATACTGTGACTTCTGACCTGCCCGACCAGGGGAGCTGGGTTGGGTGTTAGCACCAAATCCCCAGCACTTTGCTGACCTTGTGTGTCAGCAGCTGTTCTCCTTTCCCATCTTCCAGTTCTGCCACATATAAAACCAGGATTTACTGACAGTTCTGAGCTGGTGCAGTTTACAGCACCATTCCCTCCAGGGACAGGCCAATTTTTAGTGGGCAAACAAACTTAAAAGCACATCCTTGGGTCTTCTTTATCATCCCGTTCAGCTCTTTAATGGTCTTTGTTTATTCCCTTCTCTGAAACCGAGACACTTAATTGTGCTGAGGAAGTTGGTCAAGAGTTACAGCATCTCATTAATAGCAGGTACAGTGCCATAAATACACCCACAGAGGCAATCACTGCTCTACAGAATTAGGTCAGAGATACTTTTGCATCCCTCTTGGTCGCTTACCTCGGACACTGCAGCGACTCAGGGACAACCTACTTACACTGGAGGTCAAGGGCTGAAATAGGTTTCTAATATTAAACAACCATATCTTCATAAAACTTTGCTTTATAACAAAATATCTTATTAACCACAACTTTTCCTATCCGTAGGTATGTATATATATCATACAGAAAGTGTTGGCTTAAGAGTTCTGCTATAAGGCAGCAAATTACTTTCACTGCCCACAACGGAAAATACATCTTCAGTAAAGCTCTAGCTTATAAAAGCATCATTTTACGTTACACTGCCACTACCTCCCTGCTGTTTAGTTTTACAGGTACCACAGCCCTGCAGGTGCACGCTGTGGTCTCTATGCTACCTGTGGAAAGTCTTGCTCCCTTTCCTATTGCTCATCTCAACGGGGCCAAGAAATTGGTATTTTTGGCAGGGGGGTGAGGCACACATTAATAATTTGTCTTAAATCCTCCCGTTTTTAATGCTTACTTTGGATGAGGAACTACTCCCCCCCTCTGAACTATCCCCACATCCTGAACCTGAAGACTATGAGACAACACTTCACCCCCTCCCCATCCTACCCCACCCCACTTTCTAGGTGAAATATGAAGAGAAATACACAACTCCAGAGATATCAAAGGAGCTTGGTGATGTGGATAGAAGCATCATGGGAAAGAAAGTGCACGTGGGGACAAGGGAGCATTTCAAAATTAAGGTCAGGAGTTCATGTGTAACTAGAGCCCTCACTGCACAGCTTCAAAAACTTTTATGCAGCTGCTTGTAACTAGGAAATCTGAAAAGTCTTCAACTTGTCAGGGAGCAGAGGAACAAGGGAAGACGCAGGGAAGGGAAACGAGATAGAAAGGAAGGAGGATTTCACTGAACAGGAATCTGCTCTGCAGCAGAAAACAGGGGCTAACTTAAGCAGCAGCACAAGGTGGGGGAAGCCAATAGTGAAAAACCTGCTGAACAACAAACATGAGTCTGGTTGCTTTGTTACTCAACTTGTAGGAACTGGTCCGAGCCGACACATTGTCCTGGCTCGGACCCTAAGCAGGGACCCCCAGCCAGGGGCCCCGGGGAAAGTGCTAAGGTTTGAATTCTGGTGCAACAGCAACAAACACAAACTTCAACTTCACTCTTCCTCTCCTCCCCGGAGAGGACTTTTAGCCATTCCACGTTCAGTACCAGCTGGCCCAAGGTTTAAGTGCATGGAGGATCTCTTCAGCATCAGGATGGATGACAGCCAGTGGGGGAAGCTCTTCAACCCCTCGCTGACCTGTTACTCTAAAAGCCCTTCCAACGCTACACCCATCCCACCACACCCCAAAATCCACTTTGTAGCACGCCCAAGGGTCCCTTTGCCCCCAGCCTGCCAGTGCTACAGGCTGCAGACACAGGGTGAGACGGGTACAGCCACCAAAACTTCCTTTTATCCCCCCAAAACAAGTGGATACAGGGCGTGTGTTCTGAAAAGAAAGTTTCTTTCTGCTAAATCCTCTTTCTTTCCCCCATTTTGTGCACTCCTAGAAACCAAACCAGCGGAGTGAAGTGGATGCACTAAGTACCTGAGCTCTGAATCAAGCGGAATAAATACTGTTGGAGATCTTGTCTGTGAACTCGAGCACAACAAAAGGTTGAGACAGCACCAAGCTGCAAGAAAATACTTCAGCAAGCTCGAGCCACAGTCGGGTAGCGAGGCCAAAGGGAGCTCTGGTGGAGCAAAACACCAAAAACTTAGGAAAAGAAAACAACAGGTCAAATTCTGCACCGAGCTGTCGTCTCCCTTATGGACCCTGGCATTCCTTAGCTTGAACAACTGACCATTCACGCCAAATCACGAGTATACCGGAGCATCAAAGGAAACATCAAGGTATTGCCCACACTGAAACACACCTACTGAAGTCAATTGTCACCTCAAGGTCACCTGCAGCGGATGGTGGGCATTGGTTCTCACGTCAGGGCACCTCCTCCGGGCTAAGAAATCACCTGCTACAGAAACACAACCAAACCTCAACCAACCAACTGAAACAAAAACCTTGCAAAAACCCCTTAATGCATGTGTGTGGGTGTGCTGGGGGCATGTGTGTGGTCAAGAGAGGTTATTTCATTCTGGGCTCCACGTAGATTTTATCCCCATCCCGGATGCCGTAGGAATGCAGCGCTCGGGAGCTGTACTTCATCTCCTCGGGGCCGAAGGGAGCCTCCTGGTCCAAGTAGAAGAGCAGCATGTTGCTCGTGGACAGCTGCACCACAGTTTTTAAGTGCTTCTTCAGCTCTGCCACAGTCTGGTCGAGGCGGATGGACATCTCCTCCACCTTGTCCTGGAAGTGAACCTCCACCTTCGCGCTGCTCTGAGGACGAAGATCCACCACGGCCAAGGGCTCCAGCTTCCCGTACTTGGTGACCAGCTCGTGATACCTGGAAAAGCCAACAGGGCCACAGTTATGGCGCAGTTGCACAATGCACGTTTCACAGGTTCTGAATCACACTGGCTCTCGTTCAAGTTTGGTTCCCCAGGAGTAAATTTGGATGGTACGAGCACTGTTTTGTCCCCTGCCAGCGGGACACTTCACAGAGCACACGGAGTTTCTCAGGCAAGATGATGAAAAGATATTTGGAAGAAAGAGAGGAAGCCACGCTCACAACTCTACAGCTCCTGCTCCACTAAAGAGTGTCAGAACCAGGCCAGTGCTCACACAAAGGACACAGCCCTCAGTTTAGGTTCCCTGTGGAATCTAAATTCTCTGTGGCTTCGTGGTTTAACTGACTGTCAGACATCCCTGCTGTTTTCCAAAGGGCCAGCTAGGTTCCAAACGTGACAATCACCAAGATCACCGAATCAAGGTGAGCCACTGCACAGTTTGGAAGGTGACAACAAAAAAGGGGACTTGTTGCCAACTGATCCTTCACACCTACTCTAAAACAAGATGGGATTTTTATCAGCAGACCCACACACCCCACTGCCACTTTCTCCTTGGAGCCAAGTTCTCTTCCCAAGGTCCATCTCAGGGACCATTCCTGGCAGTGGAAAGCCTGTCTCTCCCTCAGCAGGTATTGCTCCCATCAGGAAAGGCTGCATCTCCCTACCTGGCTAGGAAAGAGGCAGAATGGCAGCACAAAACACAATGGGAGTGAAATGACAAAGGCAGAGCTGCTGAGGAAAGGTAACATTTCAGAGCCCCTCCGCTCTGCCCAGCACAGAAAGCGCTTTTTGTTCCCTGTCCCAGGCCCAGCTGAATGCGATCGGTGCCGTGTCACGGCCCCTGTCGAGCAGTGATGGGACCTGGCAGGCTGGGAGACCCCAGGGAGTCGTGCCGGAGGCAGGAATGTTCCTGGAGAACAGCAGCCCCTCTGTCTGCTGGGAAGTGAGGTAAGGGCCACCACGCACTAGGATTTCCCAAATCTCACGGGCAGAGCGAGCCCTCCCTGGGGCAGAACGGCCAAAGGCAGGATCAGGGCTGTTTGTTTGGGAAAGCCATCAGTGCTGAGAGCAGGCAACACACTCCCCCCCATATTTGACCCACCTGCAGCTACAAGTGCCAACCAACGTGTCACCAGCGGGGAGGGTTTCTCTGCAGCACAGTTTCCTCCAAGTTTAAAAGGATTTGTCAGCAGGGAAAGAGGGAGAGAGGAACCCACCCCTTGCTCCAAGCCCTCAGCCCTCTCTGGGCCAGCCCTTTAACTCTCACCATCTCTGTGGCCACAGAGCAGCACCAATTTCTTATGGGCCAACCAGAATTACTGTCCTGATCGGTGCACTGAGGGCAACTGCAGTGAACTGGGCTGATGGTGGGCAGAGGATAAAGAGGGGGGCAAATTTCGAGCAAGCTGAGAGAGAGAAGCACCACGAGTGGGTTAAGATGACCCAAATACGTGCTGTTAACACGTGCAGAGTCAGGCAACGCTGTCTTACATTTTCTTGTGCCGAGGGAAGGCAGAAGCAGCTTTGCAGTCTGTCCCTTGTATGTGAGCTGCAGAGACAGTCGGGAGTCTGAGTGACTGGCTTCCCTCAGATCAATAGGGATGAAGGCACACTGCTTATAAGGTTCTTTTGTACCCCGATAATAGGCACCCTGGAGACTTTTCTAATCACCCTTGCAGACACTGGCTGCCAGAGCAGAAGATGCTGAAGAACTGAGCCCGGCTAAAAGTGCCTCTGATAGTCTGCAGATAAACAGTGGCCCAGACAAGCAGAGGAGTCATTAAAAACCCACAGACACAGCGACGTCACGCCAGGAGACAGCCAATATTGGATTGTACACTCAGTGCTCCCTCTAACCCACGGCATCCAGAGAGATAAATTGTTCTTTCCATTCCCCTCCCTCCCTGATCCCTTCCAGCTGCAGCCTGGGAAGACATGAATGAAAGCAGTGGGGGCAGTTTCTCCTGACAGAGCTTATCTCAAGCTGCACCTTGGCAGTCTCGAGGGGGGCTGCTCCCACTGGGAAGTCTTCCGTGCTCCAGTGTGTCCTCCCTCTGCTCCAGGCAGCACTGCAATGCAGATGCTGTCCCCCCAGCAACAACATGTGTGTCCTGATTAGATCCTAATTACAAACCACCTTTGGAGAGAAGACCACACTAGATCTGGGAGCAAAGAAAGGGGAAGCTTTAGCAACAAACAGACACAAAATCCCTCTGCAAAGAATGCCAGGGCTGCTGCCAAGGGCCCAGGAACTGAAACCCAGCCCTCAGCACTGGGGACACTGTCAGCCATCTGCAGCCTCACTAGAAAATAGCCTGTAGTGGCACACAACCCCTCCAGGACAGAACAACCCTCTTTAGTAGCTGCAGGAGTCTCCTGGAAACGCTGCACAGATGAAGGGATTCAGACAAAGGGGCCATTGACCACAAAAAAGGCAGTAAGAGTGTTTAAATGTTAAGAAACCAGAGGGGGGGGTCATTTTCCTAGCAGGTTGGTCAAAACCAGCCTGGTTTTCTGGAATGGGTGAGATATTAGTGATCTTCTACACGAGATGCCACCTGGAAAGCGACCCCAGTGGTGTGTGGGGATGTGTAACCACGTGGGTGCACACAGCCTGTTCCCAAAGTCCAGAGACATGAAACAGCTTTCTTAGAAATAAAATGTTATGGAAAATAATCCGTTTTGGGAGCAACACCATGAGCTCACAGTCCCTGCCTCCCCTCCCTCTCCCCTGCATTCTCTGACTCGGCTGCCATCGCTTCCAATATTTCTTCCGATTTTTACGCTTCAAGGGCTTCTAAAATTACAAGCCAGGACTTGTCCTCGGGAAAAGGCACAAGAAGGATCACCAGCTGTCTTGTCTCCCTGACTACACGAGTGCCCTTTGCCTCTGAACTGACCCCAGTATGCCTTTAACAAATGTTATAATCACTGAACCTATCAGTATTCATAAAAAACACCCTGCCCTCAGCCCCTATTCCAGCCTTCCCATGCCCTCACTGTACCAGCAGGCCACACACCCAGAGCTTTAGGAAAACAGGAGACATTTTACCTAAGAATTAAGCTGTGGGGGGAACACTGACCAGCCAATGTAAACACTGACCAGATTCCATTTTCACCTCTGTCACCCATTCCAGGCCACACCTTTGACCTTCAGTGTGTCCCCACCTCCGTCTGTCCCCTCAGAGTCACACACAGAGCCTTGTCCTACCCCTTTTCTGTGAAAAAAGGGCCATAAAGCTCTGCTGTCAAAAAGAACATGAGGGTTCCAGGGCAAAAGGCACATCAAGGCAGGGGCCTGATGGTCCATGATCCTTCCTCAGCCCATCAGGAGCAGTAAGTAGATGCTGGCACAGAGAAGGTACCAACTGAACAGCATCTGTCCAAGTTCATTAGTTTAACCAAGATGAACGGGTCATTGGATAGACTTTTCTGGCAAAGAAAAACCATCAGGCTTGTGATTTGCAGGCCTGAAAGTGAGGGGACAGCTTCCCATTGCCAGTCACATTCCACACACCAGATGGTCAAGAGGATTAGATGCCCTGGCCTGGCACCAGAGAGCACGATCTGCCCGGGCTTTTGCGTGCTCCCAAACACAGGTGGATTATGAAGGGAGTCATCAGAGGGGCCAGGAAACAATGAAGGTCATGAACTGAACAGTCATGTTGTTTAATGGCACTTGACACAGAGAATTTCAGACCGAATCTGGCTCAGGAGTGATCCTACAGGTCACCAGACAACACACCAAAATAACGACTTCAGCTAAAACAGACTGAGGATTCCAAGGCAGGAGGAAGGATGGAACACTTAGCATGGATTTCCCAGGTAACATTACCTCTCCTTTAGCCTCCCCCACCCTCTTGCCCCTGCTCTCCACTGCACAACAAAGAATTCCCACCTGAATGGCACCTCCTCCTCCGGGAACTCCATGTAATATCGGATGAAGAATCGCTCCGAGTCCTCTCGCTCCCCATCGGCAACGATGCTCCCGTTGAGCTTGATGATGGATGGCAACCTGCAAGCAAGACACCAATTTCATGCACATTCTTCTCCAGGCACGTTCAAAATTAAGCATTTTCATTTCACCACGTTCACGTTTGAGACCCAAAAACTCCTCTGAGGAGCAGAGAAGTCAGACAGCATTTCCGCTCCTCCAGTTTTCCCCACACCACAAAACCAAGTTCCAAATCTTTCTGAATTTGCACACAACTCCATCTCCTACTCCTTTTTCCCACAGTTACCTGCTCCCACCCGTTCACTGTCAGCTCAAGCTCCTGCTGAGCAGAACAAAGAAGGAACAGACCTGGCTATTAGCAGCTTCCTGCGCTCCTCGGTGGTGTAGGACTGCAGCAAAGGAATTCCCAGCAGTTTCACTTCCTCGAGCTTGGGAAAAGAATTTAACTTGTCAATGTCTTCCCAGCAGTGCAGACCTGCTCAGAAGGAAAGGTTTGTGTAAACAAACGCAGATAAAACATCGTGTATCCAAGACACAGCCAAAAAGAACACACATGACAGGTGTCACTGCTGTTCCTTTCGCTCATGAAGTGCTGAAAAAAAACCCTCCTTTTTTTGCTGACAAGACAGAGTAGCTGAAATTCTTTTGTGCTGTTTTCCAAGTCTAGAAAGATGATCTCCATGGCTTAGTTTTTTATGGATCACTCAGTGTTTGGCCTTGCTGCTGAGGACTGGCCAGCATCAGTTATGATGGCTGTGTCTATAAAGGGATGCTGTCTGTACAGTATTCAATTCATCAGGGTTTATGTCATTTCAGACATCACTAAACAGCCATCAAGTGGCTTTACCTTGCACTCATGACCACCTTGAGTCCTGTTCCTGCTCACAACCCAACAGTAAAACAGTCCCAGAAGCCATCCAGGCATTTAATGAAAAAGACTTTAATTCGATTTCAGCCCCCGGTATTTGGGATAACAAAGCAAGCAGGGAGGGTAAATAAAAAAACCTGAGGACTGAGCACCAGTAAAGCCCTGAGAGATCAACACAACTCACTGCAGAGTCTTCACATCACACAATTTTGGAGTGCAGCAGCTTTGTGTAAAGAACCCAAGAAGTTTAACATGCTCCTTGGGAGTTCTACTTGACTTCCAGCTCCCAAAACATCAAAAAGCTAACACAGAACCCGGAGTTCTTAAATACCTGGCATCAAAACTGCAAAACTGCTTACCACAGAGGCACTTGTTCCTCAGTGAGACAATGCTTTCAAATCCAGCTTAACAGGCTTTTCCTCCTCTAGTTAGCTTTAAGCTTTTATTACAGGGATTCCTTGATGCTTACATTGTAAAGCATGTTAATAAAGCACCTGCTACCTGCCTGACACTTAACCAGCACTTGCACAGCATATAAAGCTGTGAAGAACAAAAGCTGATGATGCATTAGGGGTTCCTGCAGATGAGCTTGTGCTGCATGTGTCACCTCATAAACATGTCACAGCCCTGGAGCTGCTCCTCTCCGAGCTCAGGGTGCTCTTCCCAATATTCCAAAGGCTCGTTCTCTTTCTGGAGCTGAAAATTCTCCGGGGCTGAAGTTGTAAAAGCAGCTTCAAGCACAGCTTTGTGGTGAGTTCCTAATGACTGAGCACAGGTGACAGACAGCTTGATATGTGCTGAACACCTGCACAGACCCTCATTCTACCCAAGATAAAACAGGGAATAAAAGACAAACGGGATTCTTTCATCCCCTCCACTGCCAGGCACTTATTTATCACTCTCCAGCCAGGAGCACCCGAGGCAGGGATGTGAAACAGAGGGGAAACCACTCACACAAAAAACCTTTGCCAGCTCATTTGGAGTCCACACAACTCTGCCTCATCTTTTGAGAATGACTGACTACCCAAAGCAGCTGGCAAAGCCCACAGGGATGGGCTCGTTGTCACCTACACGGGAGGGGAGCTCTGATCAACCAGTCGTTCACCCTGAGAACAAAACCCATTCTTGCTCCCCGGCTCTCACCTGATTTGTGCAAGTTGATGGATCTCAGGTTGGGGAACAGCCTTGCCAGGGAATCTTCTGACTCTTCAATGGTGGTGAGGTTGTTGTTAGCCAGAATAAGTGTGTCCAGGGATGGAAACATAATTCCCAACTTTCGAATTTCAGTCCAGTCTTGAAGATTATTGTCAGTTATGTGGAGCAGTTTGAGAGACTGGCAGCAAACAGGAGAACAAGACACTGTTTCGTAGTCATTAAGGCACAGGAAGAGCTCCTCCAAGCTGCACAGGGGCAGAAGGATCATGTCAGCACCTCAGCACACCTTGGGAAGTGGTATTTCAATTTTATGTGATTTTAACACAATTTCCCAAAGTGATTTGCAACCTTTGAGGGCTCCACATGGAATGTTTCCACTACACCTCTGCTCCCATCTACAAACCTTCTCCAGAGATTAAAAAAACCCTCCAAGTGTTTCCCTGGCCTCCCAGGATTAAATTTGTAACACATTGCTTGGGGTTGTCTTCCACATTTGTGCCAAACAAGCCACCGAACCAACTCCAAAAGTGACTGGTACCTGCTCCCAGTGCTCCCCACTTAATTTAAAATGCTGGTTTGATACAACACTGATTATGATTGTTCCCCCCACATCACTTGTTCTGTCAAAGATTCTCACTAAGTTTTCAGACAACTGAACTGGCTCTCCCAGTCCCAGAGAAGTGGAGGTTGGCCACGCAGGATATTCTGTTGTCATCAGCTCTGCTCACAAAGCCATGCAAAGCTGTCATCAAAGTGAGGCCAATCAGGACATCCATGGGAGCAGAATGCCAAGGTGGCCCATGGCCAAGCCACAGAAATCAACCCTTTTGCAGAGAAAAGCAGGATGAACTATGACTTGACAAGTGGCCAGACCCACAGAGGTACATCCCCTTCAGTTACTGGTCCAGGTATGCACTGCACCATTCACGGTGCAGTGACTCACAGGAAACAGGGTCACCTCCCACATTTTTGGGTGATTATCCATCCATCTCTGGCATTTAGATTCGGAGGAGAAGCTCCAAGCTTTGCAGCGCCACACAAGTTCAGCTTTTAATACAATGTAAAGCATTCCCCTGGCCAGTTCCCAAACTGCCAAAGAACAAAAAAAATCCCTTTTTCTTTTTTTAATCAATGACGCTGTCATCCCTTACCACAAAGTTCAACAACCCAGCCTTGACCTGCAAAGTGCAAACACCCCTTTTTCTACACCCAGCATCCCAGGCTTACTCAGGTAATTCCTGCAGGATGGTGTGCACTGTTTCCCAGGAAGCTTTGCTGTTGTTGAGCACAAGTTTGCGAACGCCGGCGAAGGACCCAGCACAACTTCTCTCTAGAACGGACAAACTGAGAGGGTTGGAACTCAAGTTTAGAAACTCCAAGTGGGGAACGTTGGACACAATTTTACTGACCTAATAGGGAGGGAAAACAAACAACAAAAAAAAAAAAAAAAAGAGAGAGAGAAAAAGAAAGCAATGTGTGTCAGGCAGTAATCGGAGCTCAGGCAATAATATCCCACCTCCTAAAAGGGAATCACCATAAGCTGAAGGAATGATATGGGGGAAAACATACTGGATATCTACCTGTAATTCATACTGCAGCTATTCCTGATCTAGATGGATTGGTTAATTGCTCATTTGTCTCAACAGTTCACTTCATTACACTCCTTGAGCAGCTCGATAAGAGAAGGTCAGTCCCTTGGGAGAGGTCATAAAATCCACCTCAACCCCAAGCTGGAGCAGCAGCACATTCCAGGAGCCAGCAGGCCAGGCCTCTCTCAGCAGGGAGGCATCACTTTGAAACATCCCTTGAGTTTGTGCCTGGCACAGCACTGTGAATGAAGAGCTCAATCCAAAGCCAGCAGATAGAAGAATGACACTCGTTATGTTTTCCATGACCACAATTACTGAACTCTGTGATTTTTTACTCTGTGGGTGATCCCATAGGTGGGAAAGGCTGCTACAACACCAGGGGCCAAAGCTAAAACCCCTGAGATGGAAGTTCAGTTGAGGGACAGTCAAAGAACTGACATTCAGGGAGAAAGACATTAGTCCAGAAAACAACTATGAGTCAGAGAACACCTGTCTGGAGAGCTCTGCTCCACAGAACAGTTGGGATGGGAGGAGATGGGGCAGACCAGGACACGCACAGGTCACTGACTGGGCCCAGTTGTTGACAAAGGGTGACTGCCTCATGCAGAGACTGAATTCAAGTGTGGCAAACATGAGGTAATGACCTTGCCTCGCTTCACACCTTGTCCTGGGTGATGTCATGTTTTGGGTGCTACGCCTCAGGAATTAAGCAGACAAACTGGGTGACATCAGCCCAACAAAAACACAGCACTTAGCAAAACTGACCTGTGTAATAGGATAGGAAAAACTGTTTTTTTTCAGTATTATGCTAAAATAATAAAAGGAGACATGAAAGCCCTTCTTCAGGGTATAAAGGAACAGCAGTGGATGCTCCTCTGTGCCTGCTGAGAGCAAGGCAGGGAGTAATTGGCTTAAATTGCAGCACAGGAGGCTGAAATTACACAGTTTAGACCATGAGGTTATTAGCTAAGCACAGGAACAGGCCACCCAGGGATCTGGAATCGCCAACACGGGCAGTTTTTAAGGGAGATATTTATCAGTTGTGGATGGGCCATGAAAACATAATCCTGTTTTAGAGGAAAGGGACAATGTTCACAGAAGGCTTTTAGTTCCAGGGCAGCCTGAAGAGGTAGAACACAGAGCAGGGTGCCAGACATGGAGCCAGTGAGTGACCAGCGTGTGTGCAGCTCTCCCAGCTGCTGAGCACACGTGAGGTCAGCCCCACTGAGCTGGGACATTTCTGCAAACACCGACAGGAGTTTGACACAAAACCCCCACAAGACCTCCCATTCTTTTCCCTCTATTTCCAACAATAAACACTGACATAAAAGGAGTGCATAATCCAGTGAGGAACTTAATGACACTTGAGCAGACTGAGATTGTTTTACTCACGTTACATTGCATTTATCGAGCTTCTTTCACCCAAGTGCTTTGAAGGATTTTACAGTAGCATTTAGAATTAATTAATGAGGCTTCAGAAATACCCTTTGTGGTAAATGCTACTAAATCTGTCTTGCAGATAAGGAAACTAATGTGGAGAGAGAATAAATACCTTGCCCACCACCACAAAATCAGTGGCAAAGCTGGGAATCAGCTGTCATTCCCTGGACCCCCTCAGTTCTTACTCTGTTAAAAACTACACTGCCCATTAACCTCTTGATGTTGGAAACGCCAGTTCCAGTGCTTTGCATGATAAAATAACATAAAAATGTATATTTTTCACCCACAGGCCAGGACTGTAAGTCACAAGGTAAATGAAGTGCCAAACTGGATTAATTTCACCCCATTTATCGCTCGGCCGCTGTCGAGGTAAATAAAAATCAGCCCCAAAGACGAGAAAGCAGCCACTAAAAACTCAATTCTCTCCCCTTTAAATGAACAAAGGGCTTCCATAAACTTGCAGCCACAGTAACAGCCGTCAGAAAGACGCAGTGCCACCATTTTTTTACCTCGTGCCAGTCTTCCAGCTTGTTGTCAGAGAGGTCGAGCTCAAAGACGTGGGCGCAGAAGGCGGCGATCTCGTTCTCGTCCCCGGCACAGGTGATGCCACAGCTGTTCAGCACCAGCACGCTCGGGAGGTTCAGGCGATCTGGGACACGGGGAAAAGAGAAGCTGCCCCCTGGTCAGCATTGAATTTTAGTGACAGAACCTCTAAAAGCAGAAAAAAACCCCTAAAATCTGCCGGTGGTTCCAGAATTGACACAGATTTAGGGAGCTCGGGGTCAGCGTGGGGTTTAGGACTGGCATCGTCACAAGGTCTTTTTGATTCTACACTTGCAGTACCACTCAGTATCTGCACGTATTTCTGTCCACAGGCCAGTCCTTTGTCATTTATGGTATGTCTCGTATCAGTTCTTGCCAGAACTTGTGCTCTTCCCCAGGCATCTGCTGCAGCAGATAGGACACAGGGCTAGGTGGAGCATTTGCTGCACTGCCAGACTCCCCTTATCCCTTCTCCTCTTGCCCTTACTAACAGCAAGGATGTATTTAAGCATGTTTTTCTAAGCTTTCCCCTTCCAAGTTCAGTGTAGAAGGCTCAGCACTCCTACATCCTGGGAAAGCTCAGCTCTCTACTCTGCTTTTACATTCCTGCTTCAGTTTTGCTCTAATTCCTTCTCAGGCAGGTGAATGTCCTCAAAGCTATTCTACAACCAAGGACTTGGACCTCAATCACAGCTTGATGTGCTAAGGCCAAAACATGACAGAGAGCTGTGGATTTGTAACAGGAAACCATTTCAACACAAGGAATTCATGGCAAGGCAAGGCATCAGTTCTTACACTCCTTCACATCCAACGTGGCTTTCCCACCTCTCAGAAGTATCAAAGTCTATTAAAATTTAACAATCAGCTTCTTCCTAAATAGGTGGCCCTTTTTCTCTCTCCTTAGCACCTGACAGCTACACGACTAGAAAGGAATCCAGGAGCAGGCAATTGCCTGGAGTGATCTGAGTTTCCAAGTTTTCTGGCTCATTAGTGTTTGGCTTTTTAAAGGACTGTGTTGCACCTTGGGAATCAGTCATGACGTACTTTTAGGTCATGTCTCAGTCACATTTTAAGATGTGCCCCCTTTCCAGCACCCAAACAGCGCAGGTGAGCAGGTGCTCGTTTACCTGGGGAGAGGGCACTGACTGAATATTCCATCAGGTCAATTTTCTGTTTGTGTTCTTTAGTGACACACAGAGCGTTCTATCCTCAGCTGAACTCAGGCTTTTTTCTCTCCTCTGTCAAACTCAGTTATTGGAAACTTCACCCAGCTGATTTCCGTGGTTATTTTCCCCTTTGGGGCTGGTTGTGACACAAATTGACCTGGTGGATGTTTGGACAACCCATACAGATCACAATGGGCAAGAGGTGACACAAAGAAGGGGCAGCTCTGGTGGGATGAACACGAATTTCAGACTCCTCTGTATAATCCAAGAACCAAATTCCAACATCAGAGCGTGAGTGAAGACTAAAGGGTGTCAAATGGATCTAGTTTAAAGGAGACAGTGACACAGATTCTGCAGTCTGGGAGGCTCAAGGACATCCACAAGCAGCACAGAGCTTCAGACACACATCTGGCTAAACTCCCTCGAGGCAACAAGGTCAGAAGCACAGGAGAGGGGATTTCTGCACTAGGTCAGAAAGCATTTGGTGCCTTGAGAAGACCAAGCACACTGCAAATTCATCTGAGTCACCTGCCACAAAAGCAGCCTGGCTGGAGGTTCAGTGACTCTTCACTGTGCCTGAAATATGTCCCCTCCTGTGGACACTGGGCTCCTGCCCCTGCAGGCATCAAACCTAAGCTGGTGGCACTGCATGGCCCCACTGGCATGTGCATCAAACCCCTCCATGATTCTGCTCTCTTCCATGATTCTGATTCTTTTATGCTGCAGAGAAACTCACTTGTTTTCACAGCAACCAGTTCAGCCACTGCATCAACTCTGTCACATCCCAGTCTCTCAGCTCATCACCAAGAAACACGTTATAATACACATTATACTACATTGTGATGGTGCTTTTTTGGGCAATTCAGGGTGATTCCCCCTTCCTTTGATTCCCCCCCCAAGATGATCAGAAGGACCAGGAGCCTACCTTTCATGGGTGAGCCCTGTGGAGTTGCTGGGACGTGCACCCCCATGCCAGGCCCACGGCGATAGGGGAAGTTTTCGGGGCTGTATTTCTCACAGAGAACTTGCATGAAACTCCTTCCACTGGGCTGGTCCATCCTCCCTTCTTGGACTTCTGCAGAGAAAACAGAGCATATAACCAGTCAGCAACCAACAATCACCTCTAGCAGTGAGAAAGCAGCCAGATGGGTGACAGGTTTTATTTCTGAAGCACGGATCAGTCTGACGAGTCAAATTCAAAGTCAGGATTAAAGTAAAGCATTTCCTGAAAAGAAATCAGAACCAGAGGGCCCAAGCTGCACAAACACACCATCACAAGCCCTCCTTACCCCACATGCCCTTACAGGACAGCTCCAACATGCCCCAGGCTGCCAAAGGCCTCTCCTGCACCTCCCAGGAGGGCTGCGAGGAATCCACGGCCAACCCTCAAACACACTGCCAGGGCAGCCAGGAGGGGGAAGGAGCAAAACAGCTGTTTGTGGGTAAGAGATTGCTCAAACAACTGTTTACAAAGTCCCCTTTTCTGCTGTGTCACCAAACGCTGCCAAGCACATCGTCTGGCCAGACCAAAAGGCGAGTTTTGCCAATTCCATTCTGCAGCTGCCTAATGCAGCTGGGAGATAACCCTGCCCTTCCTATCTGAACATGAACACAGAACAGCACAGGAAAAGGGACCTGGCACAGCACAGGCTGCTGACCTGCCTAGAAAGTGGTATCTTCAGTAGAACAAGCAGCAAGATGACTGAAGCCTGCTATAATTTTTAATTTATATATAAGGTTTCTACGTTGCAAATAGCAGCTGGAAGGATTGGTCTTACTTTATTAAAAAAAAACAACATCACACACTATTTTTAGCCCTCAGCAACTGGGTTGATTCATATCTCAAGCTCAATTGATGTCGCCAGTCTTATCTAGAATCAAAAAAGAAATCCCTGTTAGGAACAAGGCATTTAATTTTAGGCTAAAATATTCTACTTGGTACGAGAACAAGGTGCACTGACAGCCAAGGCTTTGGGCTGAAAGGCCTCACTGCACAGTGGTTTGGGAGCTCAGGGCCATCCCATGGGCAGGCACTGCTCTCCAAACACACACTCAGACCTCCTGGTCTGGAAATCCTGGAAGTCCCCTGTGCAGAAAGCTTTCTGTCCTTCACACGGCCTTTCTGTCTGCTTCTCTGTCCACTCACCTTAACATCCCACTAGAGGCAAAAAACTGGTGTTTTCAGCTACAACGGGAAAGCAATCCTGAGCTGAGAAATAAAACTAACAACATTCGCATTCAACAGCTTTGAATCACCAACATTTTCCTTCCCAAGCTTCAGGTTTGCACACCAGAGCCTCTGTCAGACAACAGAAATGTCGAGGAGTGCCAGTCACCTTTTCCACTTCCCTCCCGTGGGGTTTCACAGTCACTGTAATCAGTGGCTTCCCCGAATCCCTACAATTATTCCAGAGCCAGGAGCAAAGCAAGGATGACAGGATTGGAGGGAATGCTGTCAACACGAGGGCACGGAGTGACCTGCAAGGTGCACGTCCCTGAGTGTTCCCCTGCTGACAGCACAGGGAACCACCCACATCCCAAAATAACCCTGGGGTTTCTAAACCCTGGAGGAGAATGGCCCCACTGATGACGTGCTGATGAAATTCCAGTGTCCCCCGAGGGTCTGCAGGGCAGACCCTGAGCAGCCACACACCAAACACTGTCACGACGTGTTTGTACACAGGGAAAAAACAAAGCGCAGGGAATGGAGGGACAGCACAAACACCGGGCTGGAAGGAGCTGGAAGGTCCTTCTGCCGAGACACGGCTCAGGGGAGTTATTTTTGACGCGATCTCGAGAGACAGAAAAGCGAATCACAGAACCACGGAGCCCCTGAAGGGGTTGGGTTGGAAGGGGACCACCGGCCCAGCAATTCCAGGTTGGGGGGGAAGGGGGTTTGCCGCAAATCCCACCCGGGGCGAGCTGGGCCGGGGGGGGGAATGAGCACCCAGCGCCCCCGGACAGCCCGTGGGACCCCCCGAGGCCTCCCCCGGGCCCCCCCACGCCGCCCTCGCACAGGCCCCTCACAGCCCCGGGCGGCCGCGGCCTCGCCGCCCCCCACGCCCCGCCGGTCCGTGCCGGGGTGTCCCTGTCGCCCCCCCTGTCCCCTCTTTGTCCCCTCCCCGTCCCCCTCACCCAGGCCCGGCCGCCTCGTCCCGCATCGACCCGGAAGCAGCTCCAAAACATCACGTGACGCCGCGGTGGAGGCGGGTCACGTGACCGAGCCAACCCACCCTCCCTCCCGGTTGCCACGGAAACGGCGACGCTCGTGACGTCATCGGTGTCCCCAAAGTGTCCCCGGGACAGAGGTGGCCGGGAGGGTCAAGGAAGGGGGCGATCCCGCCGCTCTGCTCAGCCCCGCGAGGCGCAGCGGGGCCGCCGCGCCCGTGCCCGGGCACCTGGTGGTGCCTTAAGGTCCTTAAAAATCCCATTATATAGGATTTTAATGCGGCTTTTAGCACCTCACAGCTCGCCACCCCCTCGTGCCGGATTCCCGAGGTTCTGCTCAGCGTCCTTTGCAAGGAAAGATTTCAGCAAGAACATCCAGTTTGTACAGAGAACACAACACACACTGTTTGATACAACTTTAGACTAAACTATCAGAGAGGAGAGAGAAAGCCTGAGGGTGGTCTGGAGGATGGACAGTTTTAGGGCCATGATGTCAGGCATGATGATGAGCCAGTATTATAAAATTGTAACACTTATTCCATGTGCTTGTGCTTAAATGTGTTTTATGCACATTAAGGCCTTAATTAAAGACCTGCTCTTAACAAACTGCCCTGAGAATTTTTCTTTAATTTTTAGGCAACACTGGAGCGGGTCCAGCAGAGGGAAACAAGGGAAGTTATTTAAAATCATTAACGTTACTTTAAAAATAAATAAAATAAAAAAATAAAATAAATAAAAATAAAATAAACATAAGTAAATAAAATAATTACAAATAAAATAATAAAATTTAAAAGAATCGTTTAGGAGCTGGAGCCTCCCTCTGACCAAGAGGACATGGTGGGAATGAGAAACTGCCTGAAGCAGGGCCTGTCCTCCCAGCCAGAGGCAGGGGAGTTTGAGGAGAGCTGCATCAGTCACGGCTGAAGGGCTGCAGGGCATCCACACCCTGTGCCCAGGCTGTAACATCATCGGGACAGCTCGATCCTGTTCCCTGCAGCCCCCAGGGCTGCACAGCAGCACGGCACAATGGCAGCATTGTGGCTGCTACCCAGGCAGAGGACCAGAAAATGTGTTCAGCAGCAGCCCAGGGGGGTGAGGGACTGGCTTAACTCCTGCTCTGCCATGTGTTTCCCGCCTCACCTTGGACTGACATCACGGGTTTGCACCCACGGGAGACAGACCACTCATGCTGAGCCAAGGAGGCAACTCTGGGAGCCCCAGGGTTGGACTGAGGATCTCTCAGCAAACCACTGACCGAGCTGGAGCCATCAGCACATCACCACAGTAGCCCCAGCTGCAAACTTAAAAGCTCTATTAGGCTTAATCATAGCATGTGACCCAATCAGATGTGCCCCAAACTGTTGCCACTCCTAAAATTCAGCTCCTGTCTCCCATTCCCTGCTTCTCCTTGGAATTGGTGTCCAGCAACTTTTTAAATAAAGAAAAGCATGAGGCATGTGTCTTCAGGACATTGCTGGAGAAAGTCTGACTGACTTCCTAACCTTCCTTCCTTGTTTGCCCTCTAACAGAGGGAAAACCACTTTGGTGTTCTTTCTTTTTACCCTGTTGACTCAGGGTAGGGTTTATTTCATTCCTGTGCAGGCCAGCACAGACGAACATTGCCTTGCTAACACTCCTTTAAAAAACTTCCCCCACATGCTCTCAGTGGCTCATTTGCTTCTTTTTGTCTCCATTTGGTTTTCCTTCCTCCCCTACTTCTCGTATCTGTTTCAGTGAGATAAAGAATTCCATTGCATTCACAGGTCACACTCTTTCCCTGATAATCCTCATGGTTTTTTTTTTTGCACAGCTCACCTGTGCTGTTTGGTTGCTAGAAGGCAGACAGAGCACACTTTAGCTGGTAACTGGCACCACAGGCCACAGTTGGATTTGCAACACGTTTCAGTGGCTGCTTTCTATAGTTACAGATCAGACTGGAGAGAACAGATGTCTGTGTAAAAACCTCCACTGGGTCAGTGCTGCAAGTGTGAGAAAGTGCCTGGCCGACTTCAGAGCCCATTTCCACAGAGCTGGACAGGTCAGGGAATTGTTAACACAGTATAGTCTTCCACCTCTAGGGACCAGTTTGAATTCAGGCCCAAAGTAACCCAGATTCAATGTGCTTATCACGTTGGCTGCCTCATTGTTCAAGTGAAATAAGTTTGCTGGGGCTCAATCTCCTCCTCCCTGGCACACAAGTATCCGCTTGCTGAAGCTTTTACCACCCTTGGCCCCTCCCTGGCAGGCTCCCCTTTTTCCCACAGCCCCCTCCCCAGGGTTAAAGAGGCCATGGGAACTGGAATCACCTCTTTTTTTCCCTTGTTTCCTCCCTGTCTGGTTGTGTCTGATACTCCAGCGCTGGAGCTGCTTCATTGACATGTCCTTGTTATGTGACAGAACCACCCATTCCGAGTTATTTTCATACTTCCAGAGCTGGACCTGATTAACCTCAGCAAGAGAAACAACCTCAATATCCAAAAAAAAAAAAAAATTCCAGTCACAATCCTTCCCTCATTGCTCATGTTTCTAATTCACCACTAATTAATGTCACCCACTGTCACAGGGGTCTGAGCAGGTTCATTGGTTTGCACATCCTAAGGCCAGAAGGGAACCAGTGTTACATCCAGAATAAAAGCCACAGACTCCCCTAATTTCACTGTCATTTGGTCTGAAGGCTAAAAAAACCCGAGCACATACACCTGAAAAATTACCTGAGACGGAGAATCCAACAGAGTCTGTGAAAAATCAAACAGTTAATTACTGATTATGCTAATAACATAAAAAAGTAATAAAAGCAGGCTTCATCCTAGTCAGAGTGAGGCATCTAAACCTAATTAATTCCCAACCCACACTAATAATGTTCCAAAAGGTCTCGCTTTACCCAGGGCAGGAGTGTCACCGTCACACTTTGGGACAGGGACACACCGAGGTCACCGAATTTCCCTGGCTCACACACACACAGAGAGAGTGGCAGCAGCAGAGGAAGGAGCATCTGAGAGACTCTGCTGCTTTTCAGAATACTTCTCCCTATATTTAAAACACCAGGGGACTTGAGGGGGAGGGAGAGGATTTAAACCAGGCAATTTTCTACTCTGTTTCTGTAGCTTTTTGATCCTCTCGCTTTTGGGTCCGGCAACCGCAACTTTTCTTCATCCCCGGAGATTATTCTTCAACCCCTCAAAGAGACTTCAATTTTCTCACAAATCTCTCTTCCCTTCGCTTAATTTAAACATTTATGGCCAATTCCATGATTTAATAATGAGAAATAAAATTGGAGATTTACTAAGTGTTGGGAGACGACCTTTCACTCCGTGTGGGGATTAAGGAGGGAGTTAAAGCCCTGTCAGCCACGCTGGCCTAACCTGAGCCTAATCCTGACGGGTACTGAGCACTCCCTGCTCCCTCCCAAGCAGGGAAGTCCCATGGGCTCAGAGCACATTGCACATTTGGCCCCACAAGACTCAAGCAGACTATAAATCCCCCAGCAGATCTGTCTCAGAGATATTTTGCTAATAACTTTAGAGCCTGACTTCATTTAGCACCCCTGCCAGCTGATCAACTCCAAGCTGTTTCTCCCCACACCATTAATTTAAGGTAACTGTTCGCTAAGATCTTTGGTTCCGCACAAGCGCTTCCCAAATCACTTCTTCAGCCTCTGTCAATTATCCCAGACTATTGCACCTTGAAGTTACCTTTTAGAGCAAACATTACTCCACAGTCATAATTCTAAAATATTATCAATGGCCAAAAAGATTGGGACAATGCAGCTTTCAAACTTCAGAAATTGAGGCTGTTCATTCGGACGCGGAGACCAAAAATAAATCAGTGCCGGTGTCGCTTCAAGATCTATTGGATTTTCCTAATTTGGCAATTGCTGGGCATGTTCGTAGGACCAAATGGACCTTGAGCCTTTTATGCAGTTGATTTCATTTTCTGGATGGCTACTATTAGATAAAGGCAGCTTCCTCAGGTACTGCTGCAATGGGACCGGTCATTGAATTACGCCTGGCAAATCAAATCCCACACACTCGGGGCTGGCTCGCTCCCCTGGCTGCTCTCTCACCCTCTCCATCACAGCGTGGATTCTCTTGGGCACTCAGTGCGGGATGCAGCTAAACCTGGTGTGCTTGGGAGACACCCAAATCCACGGGTGATCTGCTGTGCCAGCTCCTGTGATCCCTCAGTGTGGTATCTCCAGGTGCTCCAGGTGCTCACTGACCCAGCCTGAGCAGCAGGAACAGCAAACCTGGGCATGGACTGTGCTCAGTGCCCTTCTGCAGCCAGCTCTGGATCTGCCCCTGCTGCTCAGCACTGCCTGCCACCCACCTGCTGCCCCATTCCGGACACATCTCGTTTTGGACCACGATTCCCATCCTGTTCAGCCAGACAAAAAGGGCACCAGCAAACAGGAATGAGCCCAGACATGGAAATGGCTGTTCCTCCCTCTGCCAAATGCCCTGGATTCGTCACTAGTTGTTGTGATGAGACAGAGAAGTGCCACTGCTGTCTGATTTTGGAATGGGGCTTTGGCTGGGAGAACAGGACAAAACAGAGGGAGAAGCTGTCTCTTCCCATCTTATGTGTGTAACAACTCCATTCCAGGCCTGGAGAACGATGCTGGCTGTGTCTGTGGGCTGCCAGCATCCATAATAATTAACCATTAATGTTAGCAAACACTTGGCAAATCCCCACCCGCTCGCAGAGTCCTTTGCAAACACGAGCAGATTAAACTTTGCCAGGCCCCCTCCAGTCCTACACGTTAATCCAAAGAATTTCCTCCACTTCTGTTGCCTGACAGAGTATTTAGCAAACATGGGGAGGTTGGGAAGAGCTCAGGTGACCCCCATTTTACAGCAGAGTGGAGGCCCAGGGATGTTCCCAAAGCCTCAGAGAGTGTTGCTGATGCTCCAGTTGTGGCCTCCAAGCCTGCCCCATCCTTCCTCTGCCTGGCAGGTCTTCATCCTTATCTCACTGTCGAGGAGGTCCA